CTGAAAAGTGGCAACTAAACTGGTCCTAATAAGACATAATGGAGAAACTGGGAACATTGTGGGAGCGCTGAAAGGAGAACCAGTGGAAATCACCTTGAAAGATGATGAACAAACTTATAACGTAGCAGAGCCATGGCGAGTTTTCATTCTCCTTCTATCTATGATCAAGTAGGAGCTAAAAGATTTAATCCTCCTCAACCTTAAAGACAATTCATCACCAGATTTATTGAGCTATGAAGCCAAATATTAGTTGATTGAAAATTCAGAGAATTGTTGTTAATTTGTTTTTATAAATTAACAATATGATGTGCCTTCCTCCTCTTAAAATGAACTTTTATCTGCAGTGCAGAGTAAATCTACTTAGAGCTTCAGATTCATAGAGTTGATGTCAGTTTCAGATTGAGATGTTGGTTGTTTGCTGTGAGTCTGTCTCCAGGTTCTGATCTGGTTCTCCTCTAAATGCTCCTCAGCTGAAGCTGCTGCCTCCCAACATGAAAACCCAACCAGAACCTCCAAGCTGCCATCAGAGAGAGTCGTCCTGCTGGTTCTGGGCTCTCTGCTGGCTGCTGCTCTCATCATCATCTACAGACTCTGTGAGTTCATCCTGCAGATGTTTGAAGATAGACAGACAGACAGACAGACAGACAGACAGACTGATTCAAGTTTTACTAACAGATTTGTCATTTTTGTTCCTATCAGCTTTTGATAAGATCCAAACCAATCAAATGGTCCAAAAGTTGAACGATGAGAATGAAGCTTTGAGGAAAAACTTCTCAGGTGAGACTGTCAGGATTTAAAGCCGTCTATCAGGTTCAGACTGAAGGTCCCATTCATAACCTTCAAATTTTTCTCTTTTTTTTATTGAGAAGATTTTGGGCCAAATTTAACTTGATAAAAATTACTTCAAATATATGATGCTGATCTATTGTTTCTGTTCTAATCTATTTAAATGTCTTGGTTTGGTTCTACTCAGTTGTTCTGTAAAAACAAACAGAAGTCACCTAATACTAAAAAAAACTTTTTATCAACTTTTTCATAGAAATGGAACTTACATGTCTTCAAACATCTACATTTCCTTCACCCCCGAAAGACAAAAGTAAGTCCAGGATTCTATCTTCTGTCCTCTAATGATGTTAAAGAGACACTGATGGACTGACAGATGCAGGAAGTTAGATTGTAGCTGCAGGACAGAAGACGCCTCCTGCTGCCTCCAAATCTCTCAAAC